CCTTAGAAGGTAATAGGAGGTAATTATTTGCAATATGTTTAACTCCCATATGCATTATGGAAGCGAACCATTTTTGAGTTTATCATATTTTTTACAAAATAAGTAAAGATGCAACATCAAAAATGTATTAAAAACAATGATGTATCAATTTAAATCTCATTATTCCTTCTAATTTAAAAAAACGAAACCAGTGTGGTTATTTATCAATATTAAAACAACAATTTTGAGTACTATTTTAAAAAAGCAAGACGAATAAACAAAAATTTTAACAAAAGAAACTAATATGCACATAACAAATAATTATGCACCAAAAGGTAAACAAATAATTAAGTATTCTTCTACAACTTAATAAGCAACTTACTTTTTCTAGTCGTCAATATGTAGGTACGAGCTACGTGTTTACTACTTCAAAAGCCAATCAAAATATTACGATAATAATTGTAGTTACATTTATTATTATTTTGAGCAAAAAAAAAGGATCGCAACAGAAGCAGGCGGAAATTCGTATTCGAACTAAACTTAAAATCGCTGTTTGAATATGTTACAAATAGGTTTAATACGTACCTGGTACCGCAGGAAGCAGGACTTGGCAGGTTAAGAAAAAAAAAGTGTTCAAAGAGTTCTTTTTGCAAAAAATTGCACGCGGACACGAGATAAAGAAACGGTTTTGTTTTGCATTATAAACTGGAAACCAAGTTTCATAACTTTTTCATTTCGTTTTTAATGCATTTTATAAAAAAAAATATTGAAATCATAACGATTTTTAAATTTGGGCCGATAATTGTTGTTTTATTATTGATAAATCACCAATGTTTTTAACGGTCTTATAAATTAGAAGAAAAAATGGTATTTAAATTGATACTTTTTTATAATTTTTGATGTAGCATTTTTGACTTATTTTGAAAGAAGCTAAAAAACATGACAACTCAAAAATTTAATTTTCTACATATTTTAAAACTCAAAAATCGTTAATTTGTACATAATGCAGAAAGGGGTTAAAATTTTCGGGGTTTAAATTTTTTGTCATCCCTGTCACCTCGTAACGGGAATACGTCGAATAACCAATAACCCTATATTAATATCAGAAGAAAACACCATTGCTTGGTGAATTCTTTTATCTACGCAAACAACTTTGATAAATAAAAATCTTCTATTATATTCAATCTTTCTGGATATTTTGCAAACGATTTTAGCGAACATTGATTATAACGTTTTTCTTTATCAACAAGATGTTTTATTTCATTGAATGTTAAAAGTGTTGGATTTATTTATTTTGATTCATTCATCATCTCTTCTAAAACTTTTTGTATGTTTTGTTACTTGAATTTATTTATTATTATTCGATAATGGAAATCGATAGATTATATTGTTATGTTGGCCCTACCATAACTATTAGAGCTCTCATCTGATTTGATCATTCTGATCATTAAGAAGATCAGTCTGATCAATTCAGAGAGATTAACCATCCTTTGGCAACTTAAATAATATTTGAAAAGCCATTAGTTAACTTCTACCAGGATCAGTATTTCAGAAACCGGGCATGTGTGTAGATAAATATATCTTTTTGGTTTTTATAGAGGTTATGATGTTACAAGATTTAATTCACTCTGTACTTAAAGTGCAAGAAAACTACAGTAGCTTTTTTGTTATTAAAATAATAAACATATTTTATAGTCTCCTGTTTTAATTCATATTAAATATTTTTCTAACATATTAAATAATACATACTAATGGTCCAAATCTTTATTTTTAAATTAAGTATAAAATCACCATAAGAACCACCCTCTATCTAAAAAGTAAAAGTAAAGTAACAGCCTATACATGTCCCACTGCTGGGCTCTATACAGAGGGTATGAGGACATAGTCCACCACGCGGCCCCACTGCGGATTGGCGGACTTCACATATCTTCGAAATATATATTTTTTTTGTTATTATTTCGAAAATATACAGGTTTCCTAACGATGTTTTCCTTCACTGCGGAGCACGTGATAAGTCAGCACTTAAAGTTAAAAACTTCATTGGTGCCGGCACCGGGGATCGAACTCAGGTTGCTCGAATATATTGAACTAAAGGCGAGCGCCCGGACACTGAGCTATCACGGCTCATGTATTCCCTCTATGTATTCTCGTATTAATTTGCTTTTCCAAACCAAATTAATCCTTTATTTTATAATTACATAAATAATTTGGACGTCATCGTCATTCAGAATATTTTGCAGATATTTTATTATTTTGTTTTATTAAGCTCACCTGCAGATGTTACAATAAAACTGTCTTAGGTCATATACAATAATGTAAATGCTTAAAACTAAATGCACATCCAAATTACAGGCAAACACAACATTGATAAATTCGAGTATACTATATGTAAATGTATATAAACCAAGACGTTACAGAGAAAAACTAAAACAACAATATTAAAATAAAAATAGAATACAGCAAACATTATAACTTCATCTTCGGCTACGTATAATGTGGCGACATAGAAGTAAAGAGTCGAAGTTGAAATCATTTTATCGAAGAACTTATTTTCAAGAGCACAAGCGCGGGACGATTGACTTACCTGCCAGAACGGTTTTTGTAAGAGGATGCGATAGGGGTTTGATTTTAGTGCGTGGACAAGAACGAGGAACTTTAAAATTACATTTGGAAAGGGGATCAAGGTAATCAACATTATTTCTCACAAATTTATGAAAAAATTTAAAATCAATTAAGTCTCTCCTCTTACAGACTCGTTATTTTGAAATGGGTGTATTCCATAATATGTATTCCACATACACATTTCAGGAACATTTAAAACTATGGATAATGAAGTCGGATGTAAAGGCTTAAAATATAGTCGGAGTTGAAATGTACACTTCATCTCTAGCATTTAATTAGCATTTCTCCTATTGATGTAATCAAAGGTTTAAATTCTTCTTCTCATTTTTCTGTCTTAGTTTTTATCTGATGATAAATTGCTACTGTCGATCTGTATTATACTTGTGACTGCATTTTTTAAAGTCAAAGACAAAATTTCTCTATTCAACATAGGCTTATTTTAAGCTCTTATTGAACGTTAAAAACTACCACCATTTCACTACTATTAACCTAATATTTATGCGCAAGGCCTCGCATAAATATTAGGCAACTTAACCTTCTGTTACGTTTTCATAATTAGGTGTAATTGTATAATTTATTATTAATCAACCTACAACTAATTGTATGTTCGTACAAAATTAAATTTTTAGATTATTTGACAATTTTTCATTGAAAATAATAATCTTGCCTTATTAAGATTACGCTTGCCTTATTACGATTCAAAATCCAACAATTTTCCATAACAATTTAAAAATATGAATAAGAATATTAAATCGAAGCTTCCCGCTCTCACGCCTACGTATATAAAGAGTTATTCAGCATTGAGTGGTGGATGAACCTATGAAACGTTCTAATTTGAGAGTGTAATTAACTTTTAATCTTTTATAAGTTTTAATGCCTTAGAATTACTGATATGTAAATAAATAAGTATCAATAAGTAACGAATTATATACAAGTTAACTAAATATATTTTTAGTTTTTCTCTAAAGTTGCCAAGCGAGCAGTCTGTTCACGTAATGTTTGATCATTACCAGCGCCCGTAAACGCTTAACAACATCCGAGGCGCTGCAGATACGTCGCCAATATTAAAAAGCGAGCCCGGCTACCACAATCATCAGACTTTATCCGCGAAATTGTATTACTTTTTAAATTTCTCAGCTAACTTTGAATGTTAAATTTATATTAATTTACCTAGCTAGCATTGTAACTTGTGAACTAGGGAAATTGTAAAATGTGAATAAAATATGTACTCCTGTAATAGGCATACATTTCCAAATTATCATTAATTTTTTTTTTAAATTGTATATAAATAAATAAATGACTTAATGTGATGCCGATTGTCTGAGACCGTGGCATCACGCAACTACACTACTACTATGCAACAGCAGAAACTGCTGCGTGGTTCTATTACAATATTTTTCTTTCGGAATCATGAACGAAAAGAAAATATCGCAATATCTTAGACTTGAAGTTATCTATTAAATTTACTATATATGTTACTCAAAAACTATTGTTTTAATTAAACTAAATAATAATTATACTGACAAATGATATGCACGGATGAATTCAATCAATTGGCACATTAAAAGAAGATATATAAACCATAAATAAACCATAGTAATTCTTGAAATGAACCACGCCCTGCAATACAATAAATTAGGTAACAGTACCAAAACCTAATAAGAATTATGTAATATTAGTCGAAATTCTTTCATTTTAATTTAAAAGTCTGAAAGTTGTAAAGAATGTCTAAATTATCAATTTATTTTTAAATTTATTTAATGTTTTCCTTTCACAATTTTAGATATGAAAATATAATATGAGAAACTTAGAATATAAAAATATCGCTTTGATATAAATTAAGGCAATTTAGTATTATGGCAGATTTATGAGTAACTTTCCGCCGATGCATGGTGAAAATATAACATAATAAAACTCCAAAATATATAAGAAACGGAAAACTAATTAGGTATCATTAAAAAAAGGTATTTATACCAACTTTACATCATTACTTTTCCTTGCAGTCATACTTTATTTCAACTACAAATAATATATTAATTAAGTTAAATATGAAACAGCGTTTGAAAGGATTCAAAGTGTGTGTCCATTTGCATCCTTTAAAGTTTAATATACAGTTCATTTGTTATTATAACATATATGTCCGGATGACTTTTAGATTAAAAGTTCCCTTGAATAAAGCATGCATAAAAGAGTAAAGTATTCTTTACCCAATAGTGTGACTTGCAGTTGTTGTAGGTATAAATATAGTGAGACCTTTAATACCTATTTTACATAAAAAGCGCGGGCCACTTCCGAGAAAATCCAAGGTAGCAATTAGTCGTAAGAGATCGTGTCTTTGCCTAAGTTCAATGAACACAACACTGATAAGAGCACTGCACAGAGCGGGCGCGAGGGCACTACGGGGCGGGCGGCGCGCGGGCGGGCGAGTGCCGCGGGCGGGGCCGGGCGCACTCGCTCGGCTGCGGCGCGGTGCCGGCGGGCGCTCGGCCGGGGGCGCGCCGACGACTGGCCGGCGCAGCGACGCGCGCCGCTGCCCACCCACACCCGCACCCGCACCCGCACCCGCACACCACGCAGAACACCCTCGTCACACCCGTCGGCGCTACGCCGCTGCTGCCCGTGCCGTTGCACGCCGCCACACGCAGCTTTGCGTCACCCGTCGCGGCGGCCATAATCATACACGCACACGTTTCTAATAACTGTAGTACAACTAAAAAAATATTTTATTCTTCATCAAGTTTTTCAACGTTACATTTTAAATTTTAAATTTAGACAACGATATTAATCTATGTCATTAATATTTACAAAAGCTATTTAATGGGTACTATCGCGTCTAAATTAGTCTTAAATCTCAGATGTTTCGAACACTTCACATTGTCCTTGGTAACGAGATAATGTGCCATGTCTGATCGGTCTTATGAGAGGATTTGTAATTTATGAAATTTTATGAAATGATTTGGGCGGTCTATAATGCAAAAAACAAAATTATTCAATTCTAAACTAATTTAGAGTCTACATGGATATATACTTGAGTGTAAAAAAACCTAATAGTTGTAGTGCTGCAGATATGATACCAACATTTTAACAAATTGGGGACTAACCACCTCAATTACCAGTAACAAAACATACTAGCACGGGGGCTCTTTTCTTCGATGTCGCAAAGGCATTCGACAAGGTCTGGCACAATGGCTTGCTTTACAGGCTGTTCATACTCAAAGCGCCAGATAGGGTCGTACACACCATCCGGGCCTACCTGTCGAACCGCTCTTTTCGATATCGAGGCACAAGGCTCCTCCTGCCTCTCACCCTTACTCTTTACGCTCTACACGAGCGACACACCCAAAGACCCCCACGTCAACCTCGCGCTTTTCGCGAATGACACGGCGCTCTTTTACACAGATAAAAATCTCAATAAACTCACTACTCGTCTCCAAAGTGCCGCCGACCGCCTCGGCGATTGGGTCCGCAAATGAAGAACAGAAGTAAATCCCGAAAAGAGTGTGGTGATTCACTTCACACGAAGTACTTACCCGTCACATCTTTATAAAGGCCCTCGGCAATGCAGAAAGTTGGGGCACATATCCCTTTATGGCCACCCGCTCCTCTGGGAGAAAAAGAGAAAGGTCGACTCACGTATGTCATTTACTACGCACATTAATAACGTTCATAATAGAGCCGCGTTCGTCTCCGGCTGGCTACACAATTTAACTAACGCTAAAAGTAAAATGCCCTTAAGGCACAAATTATTATTATATCCCACCTATTATGTCCTACGCATGCATGAACATCGCCCACATGCACCCTACTCGCTTGTACAATTTGCAAATAGTACAAAATAAGTTCATCCGCCGCGCAATGGTGCGCAGTGGTATCAACGCAGCGTCGACCTGCACACAGCGATTGCAGACTCCCAACGATTTGCGAATATTTTAAAGACCTTACCAAACGATTCCTCGAAAGAGCCGAACATCATCCCAACCCTCTGGTGGTAAGCGCAGCTAATTACTAACCCGACACAAACGCGAACGTCAACAAGCGTCGCCCGCGAAGCGTCCTCATCGACCCGGTCGAGGAAGGGAACGTAGATACGTCGGACCTACTGTCGAGAGTCCCGCCGGATAACACTACTAGCTAGTGTAACAACAAACACAATAGTTCGCCCTCGCCTCCGAGCGGCCCTACCCACAGCGGAGGGCCCAAACCCGTGGGTTCTGGCTACCCCATCGCTTTTTATAAATTTTAAAGTTTTTTATAGTGCTAATCTCTGCACTGAAGATTAAACATTAAAACATGTAGAAAAAGTACGAAAAGATTGTCGCCGCTGTGGGAATCGAACCCACGTCTTCAGCGTTCGCGGCCTGACGCTCTAGCCACTGAGCTAAACGGCTGATAGCCACAGCGACGAAAATCTTAACGCCTTCCTTCTACATTGTTATTTAGCATTTGAAGGAATGCTTGGCGCATCTATTGTTATATCCTTTCCAGCATACAAACAATTTCGTTGTTAATGAATGTATGTAGAAAGAAAGCGTTAAATACCCGTGCGTGGCTGGGGCCGGCTGCTAGTAATATTATAAACGCGAAAGTTTGTATGTATAGATGAATGTTTATTACTCTTTTGTACTACTGAATGAATTTTAATGAAACTTTACAATAATACGGCTTATACATCAGAATAACACATAGGCTATAATTTATATACATATTTTTATGTATCTCTGTCTTTCTGTCTGAATGTTACGACTTTAGCCTATTCTACGCAGACGTAGTCGAGGGCTAAATACAGGTTAAATATTGAATACTAGCTGCTAGTATCCAATATTTAATTTAGAAAAGAAATTAAAAAAAAATAAAGAAGTTTAAATCACTAACCATAATTAAACAGTTCGTCAAGAAATCACATATTTTTACATTTTATGCATTTATTAATTCATAAAGTATATTTACATTTATTACAGGCTAACGTTATTAAAGTAGACTCTGAAACCCGTTACTGTCACTAACATTTGATATGCACTAGAGTGAGTACTCGTTCCTTCGGATCGCAACTCATTTCATTTCGTTTACATTCACTTTCTTCATTCACGTTCACGTTCGTGGAAGTAGCGTCCTCTGACGTCAGCGTCGGATATTGAATGAACATCGACTGATCCCGGTTTGCATGCATTTGTGTTCTTCTAGGTAAAATGCCTAAAATCACATAAACCCGTTTTCCCCAACGGGGGTATTTTTAAATATGTTTATCAGTTACCTAGTACCCGTAGTACAAGCATTGCTTAGTTTGGTACTATGTAGGGTTGTGTAAAAATATGTCCCGCAATATTTATGTATTCTTTATATTAATTTAACGACCCGATTGGCGTGAGGAGTAGTGGCTTTGCCTCTTGCGCCAGAGGGTGTGGGTTCAATCGTGTTTTTCCAGTGTCTGGGTATTTAATGTGTAATGTTAGTATTGTATCAAAATAATAGCTAAAGCCCTCTATTGTGTTTCTGAATGCACTACTGTACTGAACGTATGACTGGAGTAATTAAAATTCATTCGCTCTCTCTCACAGAACAGTGAACACGTTGATTTATAGGTTATGGGCCCAGAGCAGCGCTACGCCCTTAGTATTATAATTTATTTAGTAGATATTTACTCCAGTAACGGTAAAAGTAGAAAACATAGGGCGTGTTATATGTTATAGTGCGTTATCTGTACATATCAAAGAGGTGAAAACTTCTTTGGAGATATGGAACAAGTTAAAGGCATTATTTGATGATTCGGGTTTTACACGCAGAATATTCTGATTGCGTAATTTAATATCAATTCGCCTGGAGAATTCTGTTTCTATGCAGTCGTACGTAACGCAGATAGTCGAAACCGGACAAAAATTAAGTGGAACCGGATTTAATATCAGTGATGAGTGGATTGGTTGTTTATTGTTGGCTGGATTATCAGAAAAGTTCATACCGATGATAATGGCGATTGAGCATTCCGGCATACAAATTACAACCATTAGAACGAAACTCATGGATATGGATACGGGAGTGAATGGAAATAGTCAACCTCATTCTCAATCAAATGATGTCAGTGCATTCACTAGCAGCTCAGAGAAATGTCAACATAAGAAACATTGCAACAACACAACATTCAAATTGTCTGTGGTCAACGCGCAGAGCAGAAGCCAATCAAAAACAAATGTCAATGGAGGCGGTAAAAGTCATGTCAAGTTTTATCACTGTAAACAAACAGGGCACTAAAATCAGTGTACAAATAGTGTTAATACAAATAACAACACTAAATATAGTCAACGTAAGCAAAGTAACGCTTTCAGTGCTATATTTTTGAGTGGTCAATTCAATAAATATGAATGATACATCGACTCATTTTTCCCGGACAAGAGTCTCCGTGACATCTCTCGCATTATGGTGTAAAGGACTTTATTCGCTTGATAAATTACTTTATTAAGGCGCAGTTATTTTTTATATTCACACTTTCCCCTCAATCGAGTCGTTTTATTGATGATAGTACAAAGATCAATGAAACAATTACGAAAAAGTTCATATTTATACTAGTTATGAGTTGCTGAATACACATGATTTAAAAGAGATGAATTATTGCTACCCTTTGGTGAACTATACGTTTGCAGAACTGTGTTTCGGGTGTTTTGCTGAACGATGCTTCACCTTCAGTATGTAATGTTTCATAATAATGTTAGTTCTCCATTTAATTAAAATTCTATATTTCGATAACTGTGATAAAGTTTCGCCAAACTTTCGCCGCTGCCACGTATCGAACCTGTGCCTTTCGGAATACGCGTCCAGACGCTCTGGCCACTAAGCCAAACGATCGATATCCACAACCAACTAAATTCTCCATGTCTTATATACTTCAGTATAAATTAACCATTTCATTCTTCAACACATCGTTATTATTATGTATTTCTCGTTGTAATACGTGCATCTCGTAACACTCCAACAGAACTGGAAGTTACGATGACACACTCGTTTACCGGCTACGGCGTAGCAAGTACAAATTTGTTCAGGGCGTTTTGCGAGTTATAAGATGTCGTTCCAGGTCATTTCGAAGGGCGAAGGCGGGTGCCGGTGCGGGGGCGCGGGGGGACGGAGGGGGCGCGTGAAATATGTTAAGAAGGTTCTACGTGCTTGTAGGAAGTGGGGCGCGTATCATGAATAACTATCAGGAACATTTTTGAGATAGGTAAAAAATGACGCTATGCGGCACACGCGGTCCCAGCGCACTATACAAATATACACACTACACTATATATAGAATTTTATACAAAAACTCAGGAGATAAGGAAGTATTGCATAAACATTTTCGATACTTTGACATTTTTGTTGAAAAATTCCGAGTCGAGTCAATAAATTTACTCGGCAATTGACTTGTTTGTTGTGCGTTCGATAGTACTAAGAATTGTGTTCGCGTCGATTGTCGCTCCATAAATATTTTATTTAGCAACTAAAACAATGAGGGTCGCGGTATATCAATGTCGGAATGCTCACTATTGGTTCAGTTCACTTGTTAATAAAATTCAAATTTATTATTAAATTCGTACAAAATTAAAAAAATAAAGTTATACGTGTAGCTTGTCGGTCTTCAGTTAGGAACACTATTTCCTAATACCCTCCATACAAGAGAGACGTTTCCATTCACTTCACGAAAATTATTAACAGAAAATGAGTAAACCAATGACGCTGTATTCTATCAAAAATTTTAATTCATGTTACTAATTTACTGAAAATAAATAGCACAATTTGGTTGTACATAGGTACCTATTTGGCTGGTTTTTTTTTTTTGTATTCGTTATAAATGGAGACGGCGTAAGCCCCAGGGAAGTGAAGCGTGCACCGAAGGGCGGGCTGCGGAGCGAGTGGCGGAGCGGAGGGCATCGCGGACGCGCGGCCGAAGGTCGTTTGCGGCATCCGTACTCCGTCCGTTTCGGGGCACGGGCGGCGCTCGCAACTCGCATTGTGCACGGCTCCCGTCGTGGCCGGGTCAGGGCCATGCCCCCTCCCCCCACCTCCCTCTTGGCCCTCCGACACCCCGCTCGCGCCCGTATCAGACTTTCGATTCGCCGTATCCTTCTTCATCCTTGAACAAACGCATTCTGATTCTCTTAACTGTTTCAAGCCAGAGTCTGTATTTAATTTGTACAATTCTTTATTAGCTACCAACATATAGTACAAAATTTTTCTGCTAATATACAATTATGAAGTAGACCCTTAAGTTAGCTATATCGGGCAAAAATGCGAATTTTACGTAAAAGAAATATAAAAAAAGATAATTGATTGGCACCAGTCAATTACATTTATGATGATACTTTGGTATGCCAAAACCGTATTTCTAGTTTATCCAACATTTTAGTTATTTTTATTAGTTTGGTTTACAGTATTTATTCAGTTGTGAGTGTGACAGACAGATAATGCGAAATGACAAATGGTTAAAAAATGTGTGCCTAAAGGAAGGTACGGTGGGCGAGGGACGCGATAGCAGAACGGCGGATAGGTGGCGGAGATGAGGGCGATGAGGGCGGTGGCTTATCGCACTTTTTGTGCCTTCCACCTGCTCGGATTAACGGCGGACATTTATCGGCTCGTCACCCACCTCGGGCCAATTTTTAAAGCAACGGCCCGCCCAAGGTTTATGCGGCAAACTATAACGTAGTCCGCGTTTCTGCGATGAGTATAGATGCCTCATGTTGGTTCAATGTATATTATCTCCACCCTTCCCACTCCCCGAATCAGTTTCGCGCCCCCTACCTACAGTATAGCTCATAATTCATATCAAGGATCACCGGATCACCACAACTAACCCTTAACACCATGGTAGTAAGTATAATTAATTTACTCTAATACTGGTAAATATATGTACATTATTTGGCCGTGTTCTTCTCATTTGTGACTAAGCTATTACTAACTTATTGCGAATAAAATATTAATCGTTAATTTATAAGCACGTCATATTCATTTATACATTTACACCACAAAATATTCGTCTATACATCTTTTAAAGACACTTCTAAAAAACGAGAAATAATGTCGTTTATGATTTTATGGTACCAAGTATTATTGTGTTAAGTATTATTATATACACCATTTTAAACTTTATTAGATGGGAATCATAATTTATAATGTACTGGAAATAATACAAGCATTTAAGCTTTCTATTGATTGAAAGCTGAGGCGATCATATCACGTTGATTTCTACCACTCACAATAAGATCATTCATGAATGTACATTCGACATTCATAATATAAATATTTATTATTTATTTAATCATTATTTACGACGTATGGATAAGTTATAATTATCAAAGGAAACATGTAATTAATTTATGAGATATTTGTCATCCTATTAAAGTTTATATTTGCATCGCTCATAACCTTGAAGATTTTATGACTGTCATCAACAATTCTTGAAATCCATAAACTTATTTAATTACACTTAAACAAATAGACCAAAATCAGCGGTTGAATAGAAACAACAGTAGGGCATTCTCGGTGAGGTTCCCTTGTTAATTAGCATGGCGATAAGCAGAGTCGTAGCAGTAGGCCATGGTACGGATGCTCCTCGCCCCGGCCTCTACCCGCTGGGCTGTGGCCGCGCCGTTGCCGCTGCGGGGGCGTGGCGCACTGCAGATGGTGCGACACGACTTTCTTCACCCCTAAGTCAGTAAGTGCCTTAATCCTATCCTACTAACGCTCTGGTGTGCCACAAGCTGTAGTGCGCGGGGGCCTTCGGTGGGGGTGCGGGGAGTGAGGAGGGCAATGCTCGGTAGATCGAGGCACACGGTCGGCGATAAAGTTTCCCGCAAGCATTTACAGTGCTCCGATACGAAATGGCTACGAAACATTTCGAATGTTTTGTTTCATTTCTTAAAATGAAGACGTTTGGTTGTAAAAAGTGTACATAATATAACTTAAATAACTTAATATTTTCTCCAGTAGTAGGGATCGAACCCACAACCTCTGGCGCAAGAGGCAGGTTCATTCACGCCAATCATGTAATTTATATAGTTGGTTATAGCTTTTCAGCGAAACAAAAATTTTTAATATTTTTTAAATTTTTATAACTAGATCTGTCCAGAGAAGAACAAGCAAGAAACTGCGGTTTTTTTTATCTTTTTTTCCATATACGTATACAACAATACAATAACATGTAATACCAAATGTTCTTGGAGCGCCCCAACTATGTTCAATAAATTGTTAAATATTAATTTAAGCTTTTAATAGAGTTATTAATTATCTGTTTTAATTTCAACACATTTAGATTATGAAAAGTTTAAAACTAATAGCAAAATGAGCTAATACGAATTTTTTGCATTCTTACGTGCAAGGGCAGTTTGGGTTGGGTTAATTTGACACGTTAATGAGAGAGCATGAGTGAACCAAGACTGACCTTTATTCGATATTCAGTTCCCACGTTAAGAATAACAAATACCCACATGCAAATGTATAATCAAAATACCTACAATCCCCTTGTTTACAAAAAAAATAACAAATAAAAAAAAGCAATTAATAATTAATCAAATAAATTATTTACATATTTTTAGTTACTTTAGTATGAAAATCTGTGCTTATCTATAATGATTATCATAAGTTTAATTTCTATTTAAATGTATTACATTATTATTTATTCCAAATTCATAAACTTAAAAGAAATATGTATATCTATCTATATATATATATATGATATTTGTAATTTAACTTCATCTTTAAAATATATATTTACTTAATTTTTTTCTTATATTATTAACATTTCAGAATTTTACAAATTCAATTATCACAATACTACTTTACAAATCTTAATTGCGATTTTTTATAATAATATAAGGTATAAATGGAATATCCTATACTAAAAGTAACATGCAAATACAATAATAATTATTCATTTGAAATCAATTTAATCACAATTGCCAATTGCTATTCATTATGATTAATTATCAATCATCCAATAAACAATAATTAATTAAATTAAATTAATTATAAAACCATTGCACATATATTTTTTTAAATTAAATTAAAATACACATTAAAATAAACATTCAAATAAACATTCAAATAAACATTCAAATTTAAACACACATTAAAATTATCATCAAAATTAAAAGGTACACATTAAATTGATTAAAAAATAGAATAGAATTTTTACCAATAAATTAATCACTTACGACTGTGGTGAAGAGAAGCCCCAGCGATCAGGAGGTCTCACTTCCCTACCGGAACGAGTGCGATAATAATGGTTAGTATAAGGTAAGCGATCAGCTGATTGCGTACAATGACCTTGTGGCGGGGTGCTGGAGCCGTGTGGCGGGCCGGCGCTTGCGAAGCGCATATTGTTTTCTACACAAATGTCATCGTATTGGGTGCTAAACTTAGATGACTCATTGACGCGTGTGCTTGAATCTACAATAATATGCCTTCTATTTCGTCTTAAGATGTTTCCTGATGGCATGATAATTAGATACGATCTAGGGCCTACAATATTTTTAATTGTACCGGACACCCATTTGTTGTCTATTAAAACTTTAACTTTTTGCCCAACTACTAGCTCTTTCAAGTGTCGAGAACCTCTGTCATAAAACATTTTTTGCTTTTGTTGTCGCCGGTGCAGTATTTTTGCAACGTTTTCGTTAATTTTGGGTTGCAGCAAATTTGGAGAACAAGGAATTATACTGCGGAGCTTTCTATTGTATAATAACTCTGCTGGACTGGGCTGGGTAATTCATTACTAATAGGTGTATTTAAATATTCAAGTAACGCTAATGAAAGATCCCCTTGATCAAAAGCCGTTTTTCTCATAATATTTTTAACCGTTTGTATAGCACGTTCGACTTGGCCATTGGATTGAGGATATCTGGGTGATGCCGTCACATGCCGGAACTTCCATTCATTTGCAAACTCATGAAATGAGTTTGATGCAAACTCAGGACCATTATCAGTCATTACTATTTCTGGTATTCCGTGTCTACCAAAAACTTTTTTCAATTTTGTGACAATTAAATCTGATTTTAAGCAATGAACCTTTACAATTTCGACAAACTTACTATAATAATCTACAATTAATAAAAACGATTTCGTTCCAAAGTGAAATACATCGACGCCTACTTTAGACCACGCCCTAATCGGAATTTCGTGTGGCATTAAAGGTTCTTTAAAATTGCGTTTTTTGTACGTCAGACAAGCCTGACAATTCGAAAGGTTCAAGCTGAGAATTCATATTTTGCCAGTACATAACCTCGCGAGCTCTAAGCTTACATTTCTCAATGCCTAAATGACCTACATGAATCTTTTTAATCATGTCATACCTCATACATTTCGGTATGACAACCCTATTACCTCTCCACACTATGCCAAAATTTACTGATAATTCATCCCTACAGTACCAAAATGGCTTCATGACGTCTTTAACATCATTTTTATGACAGGGCCAGCCACGTTTTATTATTTTAGTTAATTCTAGCATTTCTGTATCCTCTGCGGTGCATTTCTGTATAGACAGAAAATGCGAGTCTGTTAACGGATTACAGGCAGTGATTGCGCACACTTGCGCTTGCGCGTCGAAGTGGTCGCGCGGCGGCGATGACTCATACGTGCCCGTTGCAACTGCCCTCGATAACGCGTCAGCGACATAAAGATACCGACCCGGCTTGTACACTAACTTGAATTCGTATGGTTGGAGTCGTAATAGCATGCGTTGTAACCGTGCAGGTGCGCTCGCTAAAGGCTTATTGATGATACTGACTAACGGTTTATGGTCAGTTTCTATTGTGACGTCCGTGCGGCCATAAATATATGAATAGAATTTTTCGCATGCAAAAACACATGCGTATAGCTCCTTTTCTATCTGTGCATATGATTGTTCTGTTTTATTATTATAGTTCTGTGTTATTGTCTGTAAAAAAAATTCTTGTCTCAAAGAATTTATTAGATTGTGTAGAAAAAAGTGCAAATATAATAAATATATTTTTAGAGAAAGATGTTAAAGAGCTCTATAAATTATAACTTCCCTGAACATAGCATTTTGCACAAAGACTTAAATATAATAAGTGACATAATAAACAGTGTCTTCCATATTAGCATTAAGATAC